CAGTGGTTTATTGGAGATAGGAGTCTCAGGGTCTTTCCTGCCTGGGCTAGCTTTGAACTGCGATCCTCAGCTTCCCAAGTAGCTAGGATTATAGGTGTGAGCCACCAGCACCTGGGTAGTTTTGTCCCCCCCCCCCCCCCGCCCGGCAGTGCTGGAGATTAAAGTGAGGGTCTTATACATGCTAGGCCAGCATTTCACCACTGAGCCATGTCACTAAACAAACAACCCTGTAGAAAAAACAGCATTGCCTTTCTTTGAAACTGGTGCAAGAAGATCCTATTAAAGTCATTTAAAGTAGACACACATCTCTACCAGACACATTTATCAAAGCTACAAATGGTGAATTATAATGTATAGACTGTGTAATCTGTGTTCAAAAATCAAAGAGACATGGGGTGCTAGTGGCTCATGCCTGTAATCCTAACTCCTACTCTAGGAGGCTGAGATCTGAGGATCACAGTTCAAAGCCAGCCCAGGCAAAAAATTCCCTATGAGACTCTTATCTCCAATTAACCACCAAAAAATTAGAAATGGCTCTGTGGCTCAAACTAGTAGAGCACTAGCCTTGAGCAAAAGAGCTCAGAGACAGCACCCAGGCCCACAACAAACAAACAAACAAACAAATAAATATATCAGGAGAACTGTCAGTAAGCAGTGTTTTAGCTTCCCATACCTTCTGGAAGTCATCAAACTTCTTCTGCAGCACCTCAACCTGCTCCAAGTCAGCACCGACCTCTTCACTCGTCAAAGCAGCTTCCTTCTCATTGATCCACTGCTGTAGCTCATTCGCTTCACGGAACAACATAAACTTCTTGCAACTTTTCTCCAACATGCCTTTACGCTTCTCACCCAGTTCCAGTAAAGAATGGTATCTGATGTAGGTCAAGAGGGTGACAAGAGAGGCAAAGAGGGCAGTTAGCTACCTACAGCTGTTAACATAAAGGCAACTGCTATGCATCTCCAAGGTGTGCTCCAAGGCTTGAGTGTGTAAACGATGGCCCTAGCAACAAAGGCTCAGAACATGAACACGAGGACCCAGAGTTCCCAACTTACAGCCTTAGGAATAAGCACACAATACACAGTTCAGAGCCAGGGGCTACAACAGCCACACACACTCATCTCCATGTCATTTTTGCATTTGCAACATGGCAAACACATGTACTTTAGCACAAAAACATAGGGTTCTTGAGACTGATTACAGCTGAGAGATGAGATGAATTTGCATGATGTTTATGTATGGTTGTCTTTTGTAATTCTCTGAGCAGTTCCCACGTGGGGGAAGGTATAATGAGCCTGAAATGGCCTGAGACAGGATACTGTATCTCTAGATCAGTAAGACATGTCTACAGCAATGTATTTGTTTTTTCTTAGAAAATTGTGGCAACTTTGAAAGGAAAGGTAGAGTGCACTATGTCTACACAATTTCATTATCTGGAAGAGTTAGATTCCATTATCTGAAGATTTAAGAAGAATCAAAGAATATTCTAAGACTAAAATAAAAAACGATCCACTCCTACTATCTTTAAAGCTATAAAAAGGTCAAACTTAAGAAACTAAAAAGAAAAATCTAAAGTCACCACCATTAAGCCTAAATAAAGTTGGCAAACAAACAAGAGTGCAACAAGTCAAGAACACTCTAAAAGGTGTTTCATTCCCTTCCTACTAGGACCAGCACAGAATTGGCCCCAGGTTTGCTGCTGACAGCAGCTGTTGTACCACACCAACAGAGGGAAACTGACACCACCATGAGCACAAAGCTGCACAAGGAAGCAACCACGAGAGCAGTGGTCGTCGGCCACTGCAGTCACAGCTCTGCCGAAACTTCTGCCCTCCCTTGCCAGTGAAGCTGCTGCATGGATGCACCCTGCCCTCCCACCACCTCCTTTTTATTGGATGGATGAGTGCCTTGAAGAGAAGCAGCAAAAGGAGAATGGACAGATGTAGTAGTGGACACGGGGTGCTCATGAAGCTCTCAGCCTACTCACAGTTCTTCCACCTGTTTCATACGCAGAGATACACTGCCGGCCTCCTTAGTAATGCGTGTCCTGCACAGAGGGTACAGCAAAAGCATGCACAAATTAGTGGGATTAATCCATGGGAATGACAAGTGGCAGCTCCGACTGGTGCCTTGATGGTGATGGTTAAAGTGGGGAAATTGAGGAGTCATTTAGAAGCTCATAGAAGCAATCCAGGCCATGAATGAAATTATAGTGAAGGCACAGCAGGAAAGTTAAATGAGATGGTTAGTTACCTTCACTTTCCTTATAAGTCTGCCATTTCAAAGGCAAGTTATACTGTACTACAAACATGGTTAACTTCATAGAGCAGGGTCGGGGGACAAGATGGACTTGGAAGGAAATTTTCCTGATTGCTAATAGCCAATTTAGTTATGGACTTGATCATTTTCACTTCATATTTATGACCTGAGCCTCTGATAAGAACACAAAACCAAATGTCCCATTCTTGTCTCAATAGTAAGAGAATCTGCAAGGCTGCAATGCACTCTACCGCTGAGCTACCTTCCGAGCCCTAGTAAGAGAATCTGGAAGCACACATGTGACTTCAATTTTAAGGATCACTAAGGCCAAAAAAGCTCTACTATTCTATATTCTAGTGGAAATATATTTTCTGAATATTTCCCAAGTATCCAAAGCCATTGATTTCATTTGTGGGGTAAGATACACACTAACAGAGATGCAAGTCTTTATGGGGCTCAGCTATAGAAAGGAAGACAGCCTTTTAATTAAAAATAAACTATCCTCAGAACACAAAGCCATGGTAGAGAGAAGTTCTGGAAATAGCCATCCAAAGGGGTGCAGAACTGAGGGGTGACAAAATCTGGAAACCCAATTCAAAAGGCATCCTGAACCACAAGACAAAAGTTAAGACAGCAGTGATTAGGAAAACATGGTTTAGAAAAAGAAACTCAGAAACACTGGGAAAACAAAACAAAGGAGATTAAGGTATTACCCATCAGGAATTTGGGTTCAAATAGGAAAACTAGTGGGATAAAAGTGACTTTGAAAGCAAGAGGTATGCAAAAGGGCTCCAGATGCCTCAGGGCACCACCTACATACTGGCTAGTGGGTCAGACTAAGCCCAGCACGATGCCTGGTTCTTTGTGTTGACTGTGTGTCCCTTACTGGTTATCAATCTGTTCTTGCCGCAGTGCGATGCTGCCCTGCTCCTCCAGAAGGTTTTCCCTGGAAGCTGACTGGGCGGGGTCCAACTTCTTCACATACGCAGCAGGCACAAAACCCTGACGATCATTCACTTCCACCTTCCACCAGTCCTAAGGGAGAAGAAAGGATTGAAAGCAGATCCTTTCCAGATAGAAGCAGAATCTACACATAGGCCTCTGTATTTGTGGACATGTATATATATGTGAGTGTGTGTGTGTCCAAGGCCTAAGAGTTTTCCTCATTTTAAAAGGCCTGTGACGGAATCAGTTACTTGGACTGCCATATGCAAAGTTCATCACAGGTGACCCATCAATGTCAGCTACTGTGGCCATTCCAAACTATGTGTTCCATACGGTGGCCCACACCTGCCTATTCAGTAAGAATTCAACTCATAAAAGAAACTGGTGCATGGCCAGGCACTGATGGCTTACGTCTATAATCCTAGCTACTCAGGAAGCTGATATGTGAAGATCGTGGTTTGAAGCCAGTCCATGCAGAAAAGTCTGTGAGACTCTTATCTCCAATTACCCACTAGAAAGCCAGTAGAGGTGTGGCTAAAATGGTAGAGAGCTTACCTTGAGCATAAACGCTCAAAGCACCTATACCTTGAGTTCAAGCCCCCAACTGACTAAACCAAACAAAAACATCAAAAAACCTGAAAGTGGAGCTGTGTCTCAAGTGGCAGAGTGCTAGCCTTGAGCAAAAAAGCTGGGGATGGCGCCAGGCCCTGAGTTCAAGCTCCGGGACCAGCACTTTCTACTCCCTTAACCACATACCCCCAAAAAACTACCTGAATGAGTCAAGGAAGACAAGGTGATGAGCCAGAAAGGACAAAGCCCATGTGTTGCTATCACAGCTGTCTTCAACGTTCTGCCAGGCTGAGACACAGCTACATGGTCTAGATTACTAGCTGAGAGGAGGGGCTGAAGTAGCCTGAGGTGGAGCACTTCTCTAGCATGCATGAGGTTCCAGCCTCCGCATCACAAACACCACAACCAACAGGTGCAAGTTACAGAGCAGACCATGTTCAAAAAGAAAGAATTCTACCTAAAAATGCTTAAATGTAATAGAAACTATCTCTGAGGATGATTCTCTGCACTACTTGCAGAACACATTCAGAAGGACAGATCTAGAACTTTCCTAATCATAAACAGCAGTGGATATACAGATTAAGGAGAAGACTGACAAGGAAACCCTCCTATCAACATTCAGCCATTCCAAGGGCCCTCAATGGAACACACTTGCAGTGTGGAGGGTTCCCAGGCACCCGCCACTTTCTATGCCTTGCCTTGTTAGTGCTGTTGAGCAAAGTGAGGATATCTCCTTTTTTCATGGTGACCTCACGAGGACTCTTCTCCTGATAGTCATAGAGAGCCAGGACCAGCTCCTTCCCAGTCTCATCATCCATTGGAGCCACTTGTTGCTACAATCCAAAGAAAAGGTAAAATGATTAAAGGACATCCACAGCATTTTATCTGCACCATAATGAAGCCCAATCTCAAGAGCACCAACTTTATCGAATACATATGTAGATTTCTTCACCAAAAATTCTATTCAAGCTGATAGATATGTTTACAAAAATCTCAATTTAAACTGTCTCACTATGGGGCTGGGAAGGTGGCTCAGTGGTAGAGTGCTTACCTTGCATACATGAGGCCCTGGGTTTGATTCCTCAGTACCACATAAGCAGAAAAAGCCAGAAGTGGGCCGGGCGCTGGTGGCTCACGCCTGTAATCCTAGCTACTCAGGAGGCTGAGATCTGAGGATCACGGTTCAAAGCCAGCCCGGGCAGGAGAGACCATGAGACTCCTATCTCCAATAAACCACCAGAAAACCGGAAGTGGCGCTGTAGCTCAAGTGGTAGAGTGCTCGCCTTGAGCTGAAGAGCTGAGGGACAGTGCCCAGGCCCAGAGTTCAAGCCCCACGACCGACAAAAAAAAAAAAGCCAGAAGTGGTACTGTGGCTCAAGTGGTAGAGCACTAGCCTAGAGCTGAAGAGCTGAGGGACGGTGCCCAGGCCCAGGGTTCAGGCCCCACGACCGACCAAATAATAAAGATATAATAAAGTGTCTCACTAAAAACCTTTGGTTTGGTGTCCCAAGTATACTGAGCACAGCAGCAATATCAGCGGCAGTGTCTGGTTCCATGACTCTCTCTGGCCCCACTATTTGCCAAGGAACCTGGAACAGCTGCAGCACTTACCCGGCATGACTGAGCCTGCTCTCGTAAAGCCTGGATGCTGCTGCCATAGGCACTGAGATCTGACATCAAAGCTTCGTGTTTCTTCAGCAGAGCCTGAAACAAAAGTATATGCTGCTTCCTCCTGCAGAGGTCTCATTCACACAGGCCTCCCTTCTTTAAAGAGGAACGATTTAAGTGAAATATCATGACTTACATTCTAAAATCATGCCCACCTTTACCTACTTATACAGAAACATACACTTTATAAATATACAGAGAGGAGTTATGAATGTGGCTTAGTGATAGGTGCTTGTCTAGCATGCATGAAGCCCTGGGTTCCATTCCTCAGTACCACATAAAAAGAAAAGTCTGTGCTGTGGCTCAAGTGATAAGAGTGTTAGTCTTGAATAAAAGGGGCTTAGGGACAGTGCCCAGGCTCTGAGTTCAAGCTTCAGGACTGGCAAATAAATGAATGAATGGAGACATGAAGAATAATATCCTATGTACAGGAGAACCCACTGCCTATCCTTAGAAGTAAAATACAAGACATTGAAGCTAGCTACATGTGCACTCATTCCCGCTCTATATGGGGTACCTGTCTTTTTCCATTAATAGCATTTCCAAGACTTTTAGTCCATATTTTGGGGAAGAACATATAATTCATGTTAATGTTTAATTCAATCTGGTAATTTAAAATTTTAATTTTTAATTTTAAAGTAATGTTTTATAAGGGCTGGGAAGGTGGCCAAGTGGTATAGTGCTTGTCTTGCATGCATGAGGCCCTGGGTTCGATTCCTCAGTACCACATAAGCAGAAAAAGCCAGAAGTGGTGCTTGGCTCAAGTGGTAGAGTGCTTGCCTTGAGCTGAAGAGCTGAGGGACAGCACCCAGGCCCAGAGTTCAAGCCCCACAACCAACAAAAAAATGTTTTATAAGCATAAATTAATTGTACTCACATACATACATATGTGATACTTACATGCATGCTATGTTCATCACAAAATGTTGTAAAAAGAAAAAAGACTGTCACTGATACATGGATTGTATATGACACAATTCCTATCACATGACAACGAAATTGATAGCAATGTGACAGAGGATGTGTGGAAAACTGAAATGTTGGGAAGTCGGAAGTATATGGACTAGGAAGACACACTCTAAGTACCACAAACACAAGACTATTTGACCACCTGTAGTGGCCTGTGAAACCAAGCTTCCTCACTCTTAAGTGGAGGAGAGTTCCATACACACTGTCTTGAGCACTGAAACTGACTGTGATCCAAGACCAACCCTACTAATATATACTACCATATAGCCATCACGCCTAAGGAATGTGCAAGAAACCACTAACTGAAACAGGAGACTGCAATCTTCACAAATCTGGGACTCAGATGCATAAATCTCAGCAAAAAAGCCTACATGATGTGAATAAACAAGGCAATATATTGCCTCAAAAAACTACTTATTCTACAATAAAGGATGTAAGTGAGAATGAAGAGAAAAAAATGAGCTCAAAACAAAACTAGAATGGCTAATGAAATAAAGGAATTATGTTAAAACAACTAAATAAATTCAAAGAGGATTCAAACAAACAAGAGAAACAATGATACAACAAAGAGTTGACTGAATGAAAGATATGTGAGAATTCAATGAAGAAAAAAAAAAATCAAACAACTCCTGGAAATGAAGACCTTACTTGCCCAAATTGAAGTTGGGTGCTGCTAGTTCATGCCTATAATCCTAGCAACTCAGGAGGGTAAGATCTGAGGATTATGGTTTAGTCAGTCTGGGCAGGACAGTCCATGAGAGTCTTAACTCCAATTAACCAGCATAAAAGACAAGCAAAATCCAGGTGCTGGTGGCTCATGTCTGTCATCCTAGCTACTCAGGAGGCTGAGATCTGAGGATCACAGTTCAAAGCCAGCCCGGGCAGGAAAGTCTGTGAAACTCTTAACTCCAATAAAACACTAGAAAACCAAAAGTGGCGCTGTGGCTCAAGTGGTAGAGTGCTCGCCTTGAGCTGAAGAGCTGAAGAAATCATAAATGAAAGCCGTCCCATGGTTCTCTGTTCTGAGTCTTCCATGTGCAGGCACTTTCTCAGCCCTGTAACCCTCACAAACATGCCAGGAGAGGTGCTTCCTTTTGTAGGTAAAACACGAAGCCTCAGCAAGGTACTGCCTAGTCACAGTTATACAATTAAGATGGATTGGGAATGGGACCTGCCCCCAGCACAGTCTGCTGTGCCCAGGTCCATGCACTTAAGCAATGGAGGGGAGAGGGGACGAGCAAAGAGAAGACATTACCCACTCAGACCCCAGAGTTCAAGCAATAACACCTGAGCATAATGGTGGTGCAGCCTATCATTCCAGTCATGTGGGAGGTGTAACTAGGAGAATCACTAAGCTAGCCTCGGCAAAAACAGAATCCAATTTGAAAATAACTAAGGGGAAAAAGTGCCTAGCCAGTAGCCCTGAGTTCTAACCCTAGTACCACTAAAAAAATAAAAATAAATAAATAAATCACTGAGGTACCACACCTTTCCTAAGTCATCATTTCTCATAACTTGCTTTCCTCCACATCCTGGTCCATTTCCCTAGAAGATGCAACAGGAGCTCAAGGTTACCTCAGCAGAGTCCTCGTCCTTCCCATAGTCAGTGCTGCCCACAATGGGCTCCTTCTCTCTCATCCAGGACTCGGCCTCGTTGGCATCGGCAAAGTACTGCTGGGCCTGCAGAGAGTCCTCAAGGTCCTGCCTCCGCTGAGAGGCTTTGGCTTTCAGTGCCTCCCACTTCTGGTTGAGCTCGTTGAGCTTGGCCTTCACATCCTCTGCAGCAAAGTGGCCTGGAGCAGAGAGAGGATGGCAAACAGTACATTGATATGTTGAAGGTCAGGAGAGGCTTCTATATCCACGTACTTTTGTTACTACATTTTGGGGTGCCATGCTCTGTCCCAACTCCATTTCTAATGAGCTGCTGCTCTGATCCAGCCCTTTAATGGATTTCCTCCTCTCTTGTTTCCTCCAACTGTGGCTCTATCTACTGTGTAGAAGCAGGCTTCCTATGCTGGTGTAGTGTCACTCTAATCAGGAAGTCATAAGTAACAGCAGTTTTATGGTTCTCTGTTCTGAGTCTTCTAGGTGCAGGCACTTTCTCAGCTCTGTAACCCTCACAAACACACCAGGAGAGGTGCTGCCTTTTGTAGGTGAAACACGAAGCCTCAGCAAGGTACTGCCTAGTCACAGTTATACCATTAATTAGGATGGGTTGGGAATGGGACCTGCCCCCAGCCCAGTCTGCTGTGCTCAATAAGCAATGGAGGGGAGAGAGGATGAGCAAAGTCAAGCCCCACTCACTTACCTTCCTCCACCATGGCATTTCCTTTCTGTGTCACTGCTTTGATGCGGGGTTCATGTCCAGCAATTTCTGCTTGTAAAGCTTGATGTTTCTTTAGCAGATTCTGGACTCCAATCAAATCCTTGCCTGAAAGCAGAAACCACTCCCTCATCATCCAGAGAAGTCAGTACTGAACTGACACACACAGTCAACTCCCATAAGGGCTCCAGCAAGAAACCTGACCTCACACTGTCCCCTTTATGCTAAGTGCCATGCCCTTTGTCAGCCCTTTTTTTCATGCCCCTTATCCTGACTTGTGGAAGCAGACTGACCTCTGTTGGTAGATGCAGCAATGGGCTCCTTCTCTCGAATCCATGTCTCTTCATCTTCCACATCCCGGAAGAGCTGCTGTAAACGCAGAGAATCTGCCAGCTTCTGTTTCCGAGCAACCATGGGTTCTTTAAGAGCCTCATAGCGAGCCACAAGTGCCTCCTGCTTCTTCTTGATGTTTTCAGCATCAAAATGGCCAGCATCTTGGAACTGGCGGGCCTGAATGGTGATGCCATCAATTCGATCCTGGGAACAGGAAAGAACAAAGCCTTGAGAGCCTGAACCAAGGCTTAGTTAGCAACTCTGCTCTACTCACTTCTGCCTACTGCTTGGGGTGGAATTCTATCACACTCAGCTCCCAGAAAGCTGAGGGAAGACAAGTTGATATGAGCAAAAGCAAATAGAGTTCTCTAAGACAGTCACATATTTTCTCCTGCCTTGTCATCTGCATTCACATGCCAAAACACAGACCCCAATTCAAACTCTACCTGGTGAGCAGCCACATCGGCCTCCAGCAGGGCATGCTTCTTCTGGAGGTTCTGGACATTGGTAAGGTCTTTGCCATAATCATCTGAAGCCAAGTGACCTTCTACTTCATACAACCACAATTCAATGTCCTCAACATTGCGATTAAATTGCTGTTGCTGGTTAGCTTCACGAAGCTTTATTCCTGTTAGGAGGAAAAATTTATTTATTATTTATTTATTTATTGGTCAGTCCTGGGGCTTGAACTCTGGGCCTGGGCACTGTCCCTCAGCTTTTCAGCTCAAGGCTAGTGCTCTACCAATTGAGCCACCCAGACACTACCAATTTTCTGAGTAGTTTATTAGAGATAAGAATCTCACAGACTTTTTCTCCTGCCTGGGCTGACTTTGAACTGTGATCCTCAGATCTCTGCCTCCTAAGTAGCTAGGATTACAGGCATGAGCCACCAGCGCCCAGCTGGAAAATTTAATTTCTATTCATTAACATGATTCTTTCACCAATACAGCACATGAGCCACACTCTCCTGATGAAGGACGATGGGTAAGAATTGTAGTTACTGCTTCACTTTTACCACAAAGGCAAAGAAAACTTAATGTACAGCCTCCACACCACCATCTAGAAGCCAAACTGGAAGCTGTCTGGAAGCAGTCCCAACTGTATTTGGGAGTTACTAATGCCCTTGGCTCATGGCTGAATTTTGACTTTCACTTTAGATGAGGCCCAATTCATTTCCTCAAAGTGATTAAGACCACCATCCCTGGGTGGTGTATGTTCCACAAACACTTACCCGGGTGTATTTAATTCTCCAAACATTCCTATCAGCATCCATTTCCTCCTACCTTTCAGTTCTGTGGCCTCCAGCAGCTTCTTCCACAGGCTGATGACTTCATTCATACGAGTTGCTACTTCATCCTTGGCATAGTGGTTGACATCTATCAGCTTCTGCCCAGCTTTCTCCAAGGCATCAATTCGGCTTTGGTTTGCTGAGAGCTCAGCCTCAAAAGCCTGATGCTTTTGTACTTTTCCCTGCAGGTTGGATGGGTCCTGCCAATCAAAGAGAGAAGACACCTAAGAATATTACATTACCTCCCATTACCTTCATATGAAAATTTTGTGTTTTTTTTTTTCCTGTCAGTCATGGGGCTTGAACTCTGGGCCTGGGTGCTATCCCTGCGCTCTTCAGCTCAAGGCGAGCACTCTACCGCTTGAGCCACAGCACCACTTCCAGTTTTCTGGTGGCTAATTGAAGACAAGAGTCTCATGGACTTTTCTGCCTGGGCTGGCTTTGAACTGTGATCCTCAGATCTCAGCCTCCTCAGTAGCTAGGATTACAGGCGTGAGCCACCGGCGCCCGGCCATATGAAACTTTATATGGGGTTAGGTCACTGTGGTTTGTGGAATCCACTACAACTGAAACAAAGAGCTGTGTTTAGTGTATTACTAAAGTGCCACATAGCAATGTTAACAGTATATTACTTTATAAGCTTCATCAGTGGCAGTTTTCATCTTCTCGTTGACCCAACTCTTGAGCTCATCAGAATCACGGAAAAACTGCTGGAGATGGAAGGAATCGGCCAGCTGAGCCCTGCGGTGCATGGCTCGCTCATGAAGGGCATTGCGGCGGCTCAGCAGCTGCAAAGACAGAATTGCTGTGAATCTCTACTTCTTTATTTCCAAGAGGTGTTCAATTCAAAAGACAAAACCTGCAGGAAGGGACACTGGTGGACGGCAATCAAGGAGCAGAAAGAATCTGGGGAACTTACAGCGTCTCGGCGTGTGGCCACATCTTCCATTGCATAGTGGTTGTTCTGGATTAGCTTAGTTGCAAATTCATCCAGTGCCTAGGAAAGAAGATGAGAGTTATGACTGAGTACTATTCCCCGCCTGGCCTCTGGAGAAAAGGAACTGTTGCCTGAAGGAAAAGGAACTGTATCTGAAGTCACAACATGGTCAAGATCAGCACCATCAGCACGCTACGGGAGGAAGCAACAGTTCCCTGTAGCGTGTAAGCACCAAGGGATTTCTCAAAATCCTCAGGCCTTTTTTTTTTGGTCAGTTGTGGGGCTTGAACTCTGGGCTTGGGCACTCTCCCTGTGCTCTGAGCTGCAGCACCACTTCCAGTTTTCTAGTGGTTTATTGGAGATAAGAGTCTCACAGAATTTCCTGCCCAGGCTGGCTTTGAAATGAGATCCTCAGATCTCACACTCCTGAGTAGCTGGGATTACAGGTGTGAGCCACTGGCACCCGGCTTCTTCATGCTTCTTGAGGTTTTGTTGAACAAAATAATATTGTGTTAGTTCCACTGAAATCTATAAGCTGCAACACAAGCTCCTGATAAATGCCAAGCATGGGCTGATTCTTGTTTTTTGTTTTTTTTTTAATCAGCTGTGGGGCCTGAACTCTGGGCCTGGCCACTGTCCCTCAGCTCTTCAGCTCAAGGCTAGCACTCTATCACTTGAGCCACAGCGCCTCTTCCGGCTTTTTCTGCTTATGTGGTGCTGAGGAATTGAACCCAGGGCCTCATGCATGCATGCATGTGAGCAAGCACTGTACCACTGAGCCACCTTTCCCGCCTGATTCGTGTTTCTAAGATGTACTTTTTTTTTTTGCTGGTCTTCTTGAACTCTGGGCCTGGTCACTGTCCCTGAGCTTCTTTTGCTCAATGCTAGAAGGGCTCTACCACTTGAGCCACGATGCCACTTCCAGGCTTTTTCTGAGTAGTTTAATAGAAAAAACAGTTGCATGGACTCTCCTGCCTACGCTGACTTCAAACCAGGATCCTTAGATCTCAGCCTTCTGAGCAGCTAGGATTACAGGTGTGAGCCAACAGCACCCAGCTGTAAAGTGTATTTTCAATGGGAACAGTATGTTACACTTCTAATTAAAAGTACATCTCAATTTGAAGGATTCTATCCAGCAAGTGGTTTCATTCAGTTCAGCCATGTTAGGTGACAAGATGTCATATTACCATTGTAAGCCATGAGCCCTAAAAGGCACCAAGATCCTTCCTTTTATCTGCTTGGAAACAGGCACTTCTGATTACCCTAAGAATCAGATGACTAGGAAGCTCTTACCGTGATCTTCTCCTCCTGGGCACTGAGGGACTTCTCAAAGTCTTCGTGTTTCTTGAGAAGTGCTTCCACACTGTCCAAGGAATCGCCCAAGTCTTCATTCAGCAGGAATGCCTATGAAAGGAAACAAAGTAGGCAAAATCATACCGCTCTTTGATCTTCTATTACTTAAAAGCAAAGGATATGTGGATCAAAATAGAGTCTATAGTTTTGAACTTCTGAGATCTTTTCTGGAAAAGTCTAAAGCTCTTTGTGATTTAGTTAATCTAGATATTCTGGGAAATTCCTGTTCAATATTTTACTGGAACTTTTTTGGTCACTCCTGGGGTCTGGGTGCTGTCACTAAGCTTTTTTGCTCAAGGCTAGCACTACCATTTTGAGCTCCACTTCCAGTTTTCTGGTGGTTAATTGGAGATAAGAGCCTGGTTTGGAACTTTTCTTTTTTGTCGGTCATGCGGCTTGAACTCTGGGCCTGGGTGCTGTCCCTCAGCTCTTCAGCTCAAGGACAGCCCTCTACTACTTGAGCCACAGCACCACTGGGGTTTTCTGATGGTTTATTGGAGGTAAGAGTCTCACAGACTTTATTGCCCAGGCTGGCTTTGACCTGTGATCCTTAGATCTCAGCCCCTGAGTAGCTAGGATTACAGGTGTGAGCCACTGGCACCTGGCTGATGAATTCTATTTTTTTGTTATTGTGGGTTGTGGAGCTTGAACTCTGGTCTTGGGCTCTGTCCCTATACTCTTCAGCTTAAGGCAAGTGTTCTACCACTTGAGCCACATCGCCACTTCCGGTTTTCTAGTAATTTACTGGAGATAAGAGTCTCACGGACTTTCCTGCTAGGGCTGGCTTTGAACCGTGATCCTCAGATCTCAGCCTCCTGAGTAGCTAGGATTACAAGGTTTGAGCCACCAGCACCAGGCCCATAAATTCTATTTTAAAAGTCAATTTACAAATGTTAAAAAAAAATAAATACAAGATCATGTCATCTGCAAAAAAAAATTAATTTTACAAAAATAAATGTTGACCCCACGAACGTGATAATCTGGGAGCTTTTCATCTTAGCAGTGACAGAGGTAGGAAGGGATGGCAGAAGTCTGCTCAATTTCCCCCTCCTTTGCTGGATTCAGAGCTGAATTGGCTTTGACTTCCTAAAACAAAGTAAACAAGCTACTGAAAAGTGGAGGAGCAAAGCCCGGTTCCTCCCTCCCCACCTCCAGGTGAGCAAGATCCCAGTTTTACCTCCTGTTTGCTCATCCAGTTGTCCACCTGCTCAGTATCACGGTAGAAGAGCTGCAGGTCCATGCACTGCTCATACTGCTGCCGGCGCAGCTCCCACAGCTCCAGCAGGGCAGCCCGCTCTTCTGAGAGGATGGTCAGCTTGGGGGTTGGGAGGCATAGTTAACAACATGTCTTAGTACGAGCTTCCCTGGGGAGTCTGGTCCTCCTGCTAAACTTCAGGCCATTTTATGATTTCCAACAGGGGAGTATTATGTGAACTTTGTTATTTTTTTTTTGGCCAAGGCAAGTGCTCTACCACTTGAACCACATCCCTACTTCTGGCTTTTTGGTGATTAAATGGAGATGAGAGTCTCTTGGACTTTCCTGCCCCAACTGGCTTTGAATCATGATCCTCAGATCTTAGCATTGTAAGTAGCTAAGATTATAGGAGTGAGCCACTGGCACCTGGCTACATACCCTAATTAGCTTGCAAATTCAAGAAGGATGGCCTAGAATTAATTTATTGCCATAATACCACTATTTATCTAAGTAGACTGATATCTAATATTAATTGAAGTAAATTGATAAAGAAAAAGGACTCTATTAGGAAGTGAGGGGGAGTAGAGACTATCAAGTAAGATACATCAGCTGCATGGTACTCTGTAAAACCAGTTGGATGCATTCATGAATGCGTTAGACTTAACTTATAAAAATGGAATTCCTTCTTGCTCCAGAAAAAGAACTGGCTTAGCCCTAAAACAGGACTTGCTCTTTTCAAAGTCTCCTTAACATAGGAGATGTGTTACACATGCCCCAAATAAAGTGAGCTGTGTCTCTCTGGCTAACTGGCACACCTTGCACGTATCTTCTTTCTAAATCTCTGAGGGCAAAAGCTGCCCTTTCAAGGCACAATCTCAAGCTAAGTGTTCTCGCACATAATGGTGGTGGATGCCATGCCTGGGACAGAGAGGACAAAGAAGAGCTCTTGGGGCCCAGCTTCTTTGGAAGATCCTTTTCCCCTCCCTTACCTTCTCTCTCACTTCATCTGAGGCGTAATGACCAGCTGCCAGCAGTGCCTGTCCAGACTCATCAGCAGACTTAAAGCTATCTTCATGAGCGTCAATCTCACCCTGGAAGGGGAAGAGGCACAGTTTATTTCCTGCAGCTTCTAAAAGAAAAGGTGTTGAATTTCAAATATTCCTTATGAGTCAGACTGTCACATCTACAACGAGGAACAGATGGTATCCATCCAAAATTCCTAAAAGTTAGTCTGAGCTAGTACATGTGAAAACACCACTTGTCCCACTGGTTTTGCTAGCCACCTCAGTCAATCTTTAGTAGACACATATTCATAGAGCCATTCCATTGGTCTGTATGCCTCCCTTGTGCCAAATGGAGACCTGTTAATCTGATTGTATACACACACCCACACTACTACCACATACATCACACATACACCACACACCATATACCAAACAGCCACACACACCCTTACTGGACTTCTGGCTGCTACTGCACTTTATATGTCCTGGGGAGTTTCTTCATCTTTACATTCCACAGATGCAGAAGGCAAAGGTAAGCAACTCTACTTACTCACTTTTAATTTGGGCTGAGAAGTTGGCTCAGTGGTAGAGCAATTTATCTTCCAACAAACTTTCCTAGCTTTTTACACAAACAGAATTATTCCTAAGTACCTTATATTTTGTGCTCCGAATAACAATTCCCTTGCTTAAAGGTAAAGTCTTTGAAAATCTTATATAACTTATCACTCCATAAACATACTTGGGGAAATTTTAGATTTACTTTTAACAACTTATGAAAATTCAGTATTTAGGGTGTGTGTGTGTGTGTGTGTATGTGTGTGTGCGCTAGTACTGGGGTTTGAACTCAGGGCCTGGGAGCTACCTTTCAAACTTTTTTCCTCAAGGCTGGTATGCTATTCTAGCTCTGGTAGCTCTATTCTGGCTTTTTTGTTGTTATTGTTTTGTTTGTGTTGGTCCTGGGACTTAAACTCTGGGCCTGGGTGCTGTTCCTCAGTTCTTCAGCTCAAGGCTAGTATTCTACCACTTAAGCCACAGCACCAGTTGTGGGTTTTTTTTGTGTTTTTTGCAGGTCATGGGGCTTGAACTCTGGGCCTGGGCGCTGTCCCTCAGCTCTTCAGCTCAAGGCTAGTGCTCTACCACTTGAGCCACAGCGCCACTTCCGGCTTTTTCTGTTTATGTGGTGTTGAGGAATCGAACCCAGGGCCTCATGCGTGCAAGGCAAACACTCTTACCACTAAGCCACCTTCCTAGCCCCACCACTTGTGGTTTTTTGATGGTTTATTAGATATGAGAGTCTCATGGACTTTCCTGCCTGGGCTGGCTTTGAACTGTGATCCTCAGATCTCAGCCTCTGAGTAGCTAGGATTACAGGCGTGAACCACCAATACCTGGCTACTCTGGCTTTTTTGGTAGTAAATTGGAGATACGAGTCTCACAGACTTTTGCCCAGGTTGGCTTGGAACCACAATCCTCAGAATTCAAACTCCTGAGTAGCTAGGATTAGGTATGAGCCATCGACCCAGTGTTATTTAGACATTTTTTGAACAGGATATGCAAAATGGTAGTATTGCTACCCGGCTAGAGCTTACCACTGCTTTCACGGATCACCACAGTCTCCCAACTAGAAGCAGGTAGAACAGGTCTCCTACAGCGAAGGCAACTAACTATAAGCTTAGGATAAAAGCCCCTGTGGCTAATGGTCACAGTTATGACTATGGACTTTTTAGACGGAGAGGCACTGATGCATCATGGGCCATCTTTACTTCGGGAAGATGGGATTTTATTACCTTGTGCTCCTGGTGCCGATCCAGCAGGGCTTCAGCCCCAGCCACATCATTGGCCAGCTCATCTGCATTGATGAGAGCCTTCATCTCAGTCACCCAGCTGGTAAGGTCTCGGAAGTCGGCAAGGAAGCGCTGAAGCCTTGAGAAAACCAACGGTATTATTACTAGAGGTTTTCTGTGGTGGTTCTAGAAGGGAAGATATCATTCCCAAAAGCTCTGAACTCTGTTACCAAAAAACTAATAAGCCATACAAACTCAAGTCTTGAGCAACAGAAAACGCTATGAACTCAGGGAAGCATGAGAATGCTGTAATCAATCCTTTCAAGCTCAGGTTCTAAGCCAGGTGCTGGTGGCTCACACCTGTAATCGTAGCTACTCAAGAGGCTGAGATCTGAGGATCATGGTTCAAAGCCAGACAGGACAGGACAGTCCATGACACTCTTATCCCCAGTAAACCATAGAAAACCGGAAGTGGTGCTGTGGCTCAAGTGGTAAAGAGCACGCCTTGAGCTGAAGAGCATAGGGACAGTGCCCAAGCCCAGAGTTCAAGCCCCACGACTGACCCAAAAAAAAAACCTAAAAACAAAAAACAACAAACTCAGGTTCTAAAATGGGCATTGGTGGCTCACACCTGTAATCCTAGCTCAGAAGAGGCTAATTTCTGAGGATTGTGGCTCAGAAATTCCAGCAAGCCCAAGAGGATAGTCCATGAGATTCTTATCTTCAACTAATTACCAAAAAGCCAAAAATGGGGGCTGGATAAGTGGCTTAGTGGTAAAGTTCATGGCTACTATGCATGAAGCCCCAGTTTCGATTCCTCAGTTCCATATAAACAGAAAAAGCTGGAACTGGTGCTGTGGTTCAAGTGGTAGACTTCTAGCCTTGAGCAAAAGGAGCTCAGGGTACATAGGCCCTAAGTTCAAGCCCAGGACTGGCAAAAAAAAAAAAAAAAGCCTAAAATAGCAATGTGGTTCAAAGTGGCAAAGCACTAGTCTTGAACACAAAAGCTCAGGGTCAGTGCCAAGGCTCTGAATTCAAGCCCCAGAACCATCAAAAAACAAAAATAAAAAAAAACTTCAGTGGCTGAGAAGGTGGCTCAGTGGTAGAGTGCGTGCCTTGCATGCATGAGGTCCTGGGTTCAATTCCTCAGCACCACATAAGCAAAAAGAAAAACGCCGGAAGTGGCGCTGTGGCTTAAGTGGTAGAGTGCTAGCCTTGAGCTGAAGAGCTGAGGGACAGCGCCCAGGCCCAGAGTTCAGGCCCCATGACCGGACCCCCCCAAAAACAAAACAAAACAAAAAAAAAAAACAACTTCAGACCTGGGCACCAGTGGCTCACGCTTGTAACCTTCGCTACTCAAGAAGCTGAGATCTGAGGATCACGGTTCAAAGCCAGCCCGGGCAGAAAAGTCTGTGAGACTCATCTCCAATTAACCACTAGAAAACCAGAAATGGTGCTTTGGCTGAAGCAGTAGAGCACTTGCCTTGAGCACAGGGTTAGCACCCAAGCCCAACAACTGACAAAACAAAATGAACAATAACAACAAAAAAAAACCCTCAGGTTCTGTGTCACTGGAATGCCTTAATTCTTTTTTTTTTTTTTTTTTGGGTCCAGTCGTGGGGCCTGAACTCTGGGCCTGGGCGTTGTCCCTCAGCTCTTCAGCTCAAGGCTAGCCTCTACCACTTGAGCCACAGCGCCACTTCCGGCTTTTTTCTTTTTGCTTATGTGGTGCTGAGGAATCGAACCCAGGGCCTCAGGCATGCAAGGCAAGCGCTCTACCACTGAGCCACCTTCCCAGCCCCTGGAATGCCTTAATTCTTAAAATTTTTCTGGTGGTACACACTGCTTGCTAAGGAGGTCTGCTATGTTACTGAGTCACTCTTGTAGCCTTTTTTGACCTTTTGGAGACAGGGTCTTGACTTGCCTGAGTCAAAGCCTGAACCACAATCCTCCTATTATATGCTTCTTCCATACCTGACAGGTATGTGCCACTACACCCAGCGTCTTCTGCTAAGATGGCAGTGTTCCACTATGCCAGGCTTACTGCCAAATTTTTTTTTTGGGGTGCTGGTCGTGGGGGCTTGAGTTCTAGGCCTGAGCACTGTCTCTGAGTTTTTTGTGCTCAAGGCTAGCACTGTACCACTTGAGCCACAGCACCACTTCCAGCTTTTTTCAGTGGTTAATTGGAGATAAGAGTCTTGTCACAGACTTTCCTGCCTGGGCTGGCCTTGAACTGAGATCCTTAGATCTCAGCCTCTTGAGCAGCCTGCTGTCATTTCACTTTTAACTTTCTTGGTATTCCCAGGGTCAACTCCAGGTCAGTTAGAAGCATTTTTCTTTCCAATTTTTTTTTTTCGTCAGTCATGGGGCCTGAACTCTGGGCCTGGGTACTGTCCCTCAGCAATTCAGTTCAAGGCTAGCGTTCTACCACTTGAGCCATAGCGCCACTTCTGTTTTTTTCTGTGTATATGGTACTAAAGAATTGAACCCAGGGCCTCATGCACGTAAGGCAAGCACTCTACCACTGAGCCACCTTCCCAGCCCTCTAATTCTTTATTTACTCAAATTTCCCCCCCCAGTCAGGGCTTAGGCACTGTCCCCAGGCCTCTTTTTGCTCAAGGCTAGCACTCTACTACTTGAGCCACAGGGCCACTTGTGGCTTTTTCTGATTAGTTTATTGGAGATAAGAGTCTCACAGATCTTTCTGCCTGAGCTGGCGTCAAACAGCAATCCTCACATCTCAGCCTCCTGAGTAGCTAGGATTCCAGGTATGAGCCATCTGGTACCCTGCTTACCTTATTAGTTTAAGCTCCCTTTTCTCTGAATCCTTTCCACCAGTGCCTGGCTGATTTACTCAATTTTAATAGGATATTTCATGAAATGATTGGATAACTAAGGGGATACTTTCATTTCTACCAGTACTAATGTAGTGATAGGGAATGGAAGATTTTTTTGAAATTATAAATACTATACTGTCCTGCACCCCATACAGCTGTCTCCAGATATAAGAACACAGGTGGGAACAAGTGGTCTGCATCCTCTTAGTGACACCTGGCTGAGTGCACAGAACTGATTAAATGCAGAAGTGTTTTTTCCACCTGTAGGAGTCATTGAGGCGTGCATGTCTCTCTGCAGCCAAAGTGCGGATCTGCTCCCAGTTGGTAATGAGTTCCTCTCGCTTCACTTGGATCTGGGTGGCGCTCAGAGGGTGGGACTGCTGCAGGCGGTCAGCCTCTGCACACAGTGCTTTGACCTGGAAATGCATGATGTCAGCACTGCTCTTCTAACCCTTCCAACTAATTTATGGAAACAGCTGTTTTTCAAACCCACCTTGTCCTCTAGAGCAGCAAGATCTCTTTCCAGACCTTCATGTTTCCGCAGCAGAGCCTGAACACTTGCCAGGTCTCGGCCAAAATCGTCAGAGGCCATTAACTGCTCCTTTTCCTTAATCCAACTGATGGTCTCATCCACATCCCTGCAGAGTGGGAATAGAGGTGCCAGTCAACCTGTGATGCTGACTGTCCAGGAGTACCAAGACTATCACAGTCAAGATCTAGTGACCAGGGACTTTACCAAGCCCTTCCCAGCCAGTGCCTGTTCCCCTAGTCCAGTTGGAGCTGGTTGGTACCTGTTAAAGCGCTGAACCTCAGCAGCCCCAAAGAGCTTCCCCTGCCTCTGCAGAGCTAGACCCTTCAGTCGCTGCCAGGCTGCATTCACCTCACTCTGCTTGGTCTTGATCAATTCCTCCTCAGGGTGCTGTTCCTAAAGAAGGCAGAATGGAAGAGCTTTGCCTGTCCTGTTCCTCCAGTAACTCTAGTGCTCAAAAATCTGTTACTCCATGTATCTTGGAAATGATTAAGCACTGCTGACCATTCATAGACTTTTCAAGGCCCAAGTATTTATTCAGATGGCTTCAGACTGGAAATATCTTTTTAAAAGTGCCCTGTCATAAAAAAATGTACTCATTACTAATTTAACTGTAACCTCTCTGTACCACATCTTTACAAGAATAAAAAAAAA